ATTAACCAATAAAATTTTATGATATCACGGGATGATCTACAAAAATTGGCCAATCGGAATGAAAGCCCGCTATGCTACATATACTGATATCCTATAATTAAATTACAAACCATGTCTGAAATTTCTTATGAAACTATCTCATCAAGTGAAATCTTTGCACCACTACTCGACTTTTTAAAAAACGCTCCTTTAGATCAAATTACTATCTCCAGAATTTTTCAACAACAGTGGAACTCTTTTAAAATTCAAACTGAAGAAGCGGACATTGAATGTCTTAAGAATCTATTAAGAAAAGTAGAAAATGAAAATATTACCAATGATCGTAAAATTCACCTTAAGTTATTGCAAGACGATAACAAGGTAAATTGTACCTCTAATAATATTTTTATTATATATGAAAATGACGAAAACACACTGTCTCTAGACATTAATTTATGCAGTGCGATTGAGTAAGCGGTATACTACCAGCGATAATCTTTTTCAATGCATTTTTCATGATTATTATTGACAGTAAGGGTTTAGAAACAAAACCCAATAGCCGGCAAATACAGATTCAAAAGTCGGGTTTATCTGATCCAAAGATGATGATTTTGAACTTTATTAACCCGACTTCTATTTTTTGCAGATACGATATAGTCGGAAAGAGCTTATGTCATTAGTAAAAGTGGGACTGTTACGTGGAAAATTCGAAGAACAAATTGATTGGAAAAAAATAGCTTCCAACAACATATCTATCTTAAGAGAAGCAATAAAAGTACGTTACAGTATGATTAGTGAAAGATAAAGAAAGCAATAATTTAATGTATATTTTAAAATTCTAGAAAGAAAATACTCCGGCTCATGACCATCTTTTCAAGAAAATATCTGAAACAAATGTTGATGATTTAACGCCTGATGATCCATTATGCAATGGTACTGTCGACCTAAGCTCAGATAAATTTCAACTTTCGGAAAGTGACTATGTTGCTCTCGTGGTACGTAGGAATGGTATTAGGCTGTATGAATTAATTTCGAGTATCGATTACGGTTGAGATTAATTATCTTACAAACTATTTACAGAAAGAAAAGGCGTGCATAAGAATGTTAAGTAAAGATAATGAAATAAAGAATATTTGTATTGATTTTGTTGCAAGAAGAAACGAAGTCCAAAAGTTGAAAAAGTTTGTACTATCATCAACGGAAACAGCAAAACATAATCAATGGGTTGAGGAGGTTCATGAAAGGGAACGTATAGCGAAGATTGTTACTGACGTTCTTTTACAGGAGATAAGATTTAACGCACTTCGTAAAATTTCTAGAGGTTCCGAAAATTCTTTCATGGAAATTATATCCCATTTGATAGATGCTACCATGTACCACCTACCTGCAGAATGCGAGATTGATGTAACGAGAGCTGAGCGACAAAGTATCGCGAGTAAAAATCGCAAAGCTCAAAATAATGAAGGATCTAGAGGTGACAAACCAGATCTCATGATACGATCATATCATAGACAAAGATGGGAGGAACTTGTCTATTTTGAAAGTGGCAAGTGGAATGCCAGTGATAAAAAAATAAATGATGATCATAATAAATTAGTACAACTTTGTCTTGATGGATACGAAGAGATCTCAAAAAAGTGTAAAAAGGATATTTTGTACGAAAATTATATGGGATTGGGAGTCAATATTGCAGGTGAATGTCTCGTAATCCACGGACTTATACGAGAAAACGGGATTAAATATTATCTTCCAATCGCTAAAGCAAAAGTACCCCTTAGCATGGAGTCAGTTAATGAAATTGAAGAATTTGTTCATGCTTTATTAACTTTACGGGTAAGTATTTTTTTCATAAGGTTGCATTTGACCGAATCACTCAAAAATTTTAATTCATTATTTAGAATGGAGTTATTGTGAACTTGCATTGTCTTGTCAACAGTTTTCAGACAAGATCCAGGAAGGTTAGTGAAAGAAGCTCTTCACATGATACTGGAAGATTAAACAAGAAAAAAAGTGGAGAATTGAAAAAAGAATGATTCTATTCCTGTAAATTATTTTTCTTTATATCAATAAAGCTGGCCTTGGTGGCCGATTTCGCATACATAATCACGTTTACTTTTGCATGTGTATTTCGTGAATTTATCCTGCCTCCACGCAGACAGTCCACAGATAATAGTATAGACGTCATGTATCGCGGGCTAGTCCCGAACATTTGTATTTATTTTTCGCATGTATTAATAAAAAGCTTTTTCTTGGCAAAAGTGATCGGCGTGAAGAATCTTCACGCGCACGTGATTTTTTTATTTGAAATTAAAGGCATAAATCAATAAAAATATTTCAAGACGTATACAATATTCTTCCGAACATTTTTGACATAAGTGCAAATCAAAGGAAAAAGTTACGGTTTAGAGTAATTTTTATTCAACGTAATATATTGGAGATACAAAGATTTGTAAGCCAGGGGGTAAATAACCTATATTATTGTTGGCTTGAATCTCGTAGCTATCAACAACGACAACAATAACAACCACCACTACAACAACAAGGATTACATGAGCAACAATAACAAGAGCTACAACCACAATAATTAGCTATTAGAAAATAAGAAGAAATTAATTAGAGAAGTATCATTTAGAAATAAATATAAAAATGAAAATACTCACGTGACAAATCTTTTTTCACTGTTCCTAGTCCCACTGTTTCCGCTTTTCCTGGTCCCATTATTATCGTAGTTTCCGTTTTTTCCGCTTTTCCTGTTATCGTTGTTTTCACTATTTCCGTTGTACAACAAGCATGGTGATTTTGATCACTTTCAGTAGGATAAAAATTATTTACAAAAATTAGTTAATATACAAAGGATTAACCTATTTTATTTTACTAATATGTAAACTCATTTACAAATATATCTTTGATCTCAGGCTGTGCGAACAGGCGGAACAGCCCATTGCTAATGTTTCAAATTTGTACTACATTTCCCCTCCTACCAGTTCCACGACAGTTCCATGACAGTTTCAGGATAGTTCCAGGCCTCTATAAATCACGAGATGATCGGCCAATCAGATTTCACCTTCCTTGATCTATTGACATGATAGCTAAGCCACCATTTCCTCTCCAGACTCGAGCATCATAGATCTGTATCCCCAACTATCTCTTCTTTTTCGCAAAATGCGAATGTGATCAATGTTACCATCAATTATGGTGGAAGATCAGACGAACAATAGGAATAAGATTTTTTTCGTTAGTATAGAATAGTGAATAGTTTATATTTTCATAGCTTGTAAATGTGATGTAGTAGAATACAAAAGCAAAAATATTTTATTATTTGTAAAATACAAAACATGTTTAAAAATATCAGACATTTTCCGAGACTTTATTTTTTATTTTTTTGGTAAAATAGCGATATATCCACATGTATACAGCAGGCCCATAGGGCGACTCGAAGAGTCATAATTGTACTATTTTTATTAAATAAAGAAAAGTGATCGAGGATCTTTATCTTTCCTCTTCATTTATCGATTCCGTATGGAAGAGTG